AGAAGATGATATTTCAAATTTGGGGTTTGATAATAGGTTATTCCCAAATTGATACAATCAATGTAGATCTGTTCCTTACTCTGACCAACATCAAAATCAATTACACTGACTTTAACAGAATTTTCTCTCAAATTTTGAAGAAAGATCAATTCACCTCCATCCAATGGTACATAGCTGATAGAAGAACAAAACATAATTGCAACCATTTGGGTGTCCACTTCCTTTGATGAGATTGTATGACATGTTTGGAACATATCAAATAACGAAAATGGCTTGGTTTCGGTTGCAAAATCACACTGCTGTATTAAGTGTTTGAAAGGTTCTTCAAACTTTCTGTTACCTGTAAATTCGTGTTTCGTACACGTGTTTCCTTTACTATTCAACAAACATAGAGTCAAATTCTCAGTTTTAACTAAATACTTGCCACAGAAATTAGCAAGATAATCAAAAATCGTGTGCAAAATAGTGTTATCAGTCTCTCCAAGTTTGTTACTGTGAAGGAATGAGCATTCCAATGTGACAAGCAAGTGAACTTTGCTAGGAGTACGTGATGTCATTTTTCTTGCTGATGTAATCAAACGTGATGACTATTTTTTGGTTGAAAACGTGACTTCTTGACAATTCCACCAACATATCATCACATCACTCCTATGCAGGTCATAACGCTTAATTCTTGACAACTTGAAACTTCACTATTCACGTTGTCTATCACGTTTCGCCCAACTTTATGCCCAGCATTCGTATCAAGTACTTTGACAACTTTAAAAAAAATAATCCATCATGATTTCAGTTAAGCAAATGCGAGAAATTCAAGCTCGCAACCCTCAGTACATTGATTTGTGCTTCTTGTTAGATATTACTAGTTCTATGAAGACATGGATGGATTCTGCCAAGTCTGTTATTTCAAAGGTTTTAAAAGAAGTTGCTTCCAAAAATCAAGAGGTGAAAACTATTCGTTACGCCTTTGTAGGTTATGCTGATATTGATGATAAGGTACCATTTGTTATTCATCCATTCACTGACCAAGTGGAAGTTATCGAGAAAGCGATTGCAGATTGTCCACTTATGTATGGATATGATATTGCTGAAGATGTAGCCGGAGGATTGCAAAAAGTTGTCGATTTAGACTGGAATAGCTTTACCAGAGTGTTAATCCATATTGCTGATGCTCCTGGTCATGGTTCATTTATGCATTCCCTTGCTAATTCGGATGATAACTTCTTAAACGCACCAGAGAAACCAGTTATCGATTTGATGGAAAAACTTGTTACAAAAAAAATTGATTACTTTTTCATGGAAATCCATAACTGTACAACCAAGATGACAAACTATTTCAAGACTAAAATGGATTCTTTCAATGCTCCAAATATGGAACCAAAAGTTTCCATTACCTTACTGAAAGGTATTATTAGTCAAAATACCAGCACTCCTCCAGATGTGCAAAATCTGTTGTTTTTACAAAAGATTACTGAGGCTATCCTCACTGCACACACTTCTTCCTTGTTGAGATCCACAAAGGCAAAGGAAATGATAAAGAAGACTAATGTCCTCGATGAGAATTGGCACAAGTTGAAAGATGCTAAAACGCCAAGAAAAGGAAAGGTTTTATCATATGCTCTCCATTCATATGATAAAACTTTGGAAGAAATAATTGAATTTTTCTTGTCAGGAAAACCTCCAGTCTCGTTCTGTACTGACATTAATATCATTATTGATGAAGAATTATTAGCTCACGGAGC